TGTAGGTATGTGTATGCATGCATGCATGCATGCATGCATGCATGGATGGATGGATGTATGTATGCATGTACGGAGGTATGTGTGCATATGTGTATGTACGTAGGTATGTATGCATGCATGCAAGTATGTATGCATTTATGTACGTATGTATGCACGTATGTCTGCACGTATGAATGCATGCATGTATGTTTGTATGTACGACACGCATGCATGCACATACATGCCTCTGTATATTTGGTTATACACGTATACATCCCAATATAGCTATTTATCTACACATTTGCGTAATGTAGTGCAGTGTAGTCGCATGTCACACGTCACATAATTAATTCTCACGCAATGCAACGCAATGTGGTGAAATGCAATGCATTGGCGATGCCGATGCCGGTGCCAATGCCATTGGCGATGCCAATGCCAACGCGATGCAACGCAATGCATATGCAAGGCACATGCAACGCACATGCAATGTATTGCAATTTAATGCAATGAAATGTCATGTGGTGTAACGTAGAAGCACAGTGTACTACAGCGTAGTGTAGTGTACCGTTTGGTACTCCAACGGAGTCTAATGTAATGCTGTGTAAGGTAATGAAAAGTAATGTATAAGGTAAAGTAGGCTAACGTGAGGCAATGTAAGGTAATGTAAGGTATGGCAAGGCAAGGCTAAGCAGGTATGTCTCTCTGCGTTTGGTCATGGTGTCTTGAAGGCTTTGCTGTTGACATCTGTCAAGCTGTCAGATCAAGATCAGAGCCAGAACTTGCGCTGATACGACCATTCACTGCAACTGCTACTGCACCGAACTCTAAGAGTTTGCCAGTCCGGAAAAACGAGGTTTAGGGCTGCTTCAAGGCTGATCAGGGCGATAGCAAGCGGCGGATGGTTCCGCTTGGCACTTCAAAGGACCTCAAGGAATGCAAAGTGGCGACTGGCAGTTTCACTGCGCCAATACAAGTGCTGCAGACGAGACCTCGGGAGAAAACAACAAACTCGCCTCCGCTTCAGGTGTCTTGCTTTATATTTTCACTTTCCGGGAATAGCTGAAAGATCTTGAGCTCGCGCAGTACTTCGTTCCGGGTGGTCCCGATGTTCCCGATGAGGCGGGTTACTTATTGGAACGAGACGCAAAAACTTCACCTCTTCTAGAGAAGATGCGGGTAATCAGCCACACCAAGCAGCGGTTGGTTCCGCAAGAGCCCTTGCGCTTGCTTCAGGCAATGGCAGGTGAAGTCCGGCGAAGGACTCTGGGTCATCCGAGACCAGGATTGCAAGGACTTCAGCACAAGCAACAATCCTGTGCATTTTGTAGGCCCAGACAGGAGCATGGAGAAGGCCCGTTGCGAGGTGGTGGACAAGTGGCGTGGGCCTGCTGCACCTGCTGCACCTGCATCCTCTTCCGCGCCGAGTGCGCCTGCTTCATCTTCCACGCCGCTCGCGCCGCGTCTCGACATTCCAAGGACAAAGCGGCGGGTTCGCATTGGCTATCAGATGGAGGTCGTGCGAACATACTTCACCGAGGTGCATAGTGCATAGACGCAGTCCGCGCCTTCTCCGGACAAGATACGGCGAGGACCGCGACCACAAAGTGATCTACGAGGTCTTCAGGAGACAGATCTACAGGCCCTCTGGTGTGCCACAACAGCCCTTGCTTCAAGGCGGAAGTTTCCGCGGCTCTTTTTGTGAAGTCCAGCGCTAGACTATGTGATGCAAGGCAAAACCTCAAGGATCTGGACCAAGCACAGTTTTGTCAGTTTGAATGCCCGACAGAGCGTGGAGAAGGCATCTGCGTAGTGTGGACGAATGGGGAGCCTTCATCCTGCTCCAAACCGCCGCCATCCTCCTCCACGCCTGCGCCTACCCCTGCCGAAGTACTCCCGCCATTCCAAAGCCCAAGCGCAAGGTGGTCATTGGGCATGCGATCGCCCCGTGACATCACTTATACACTCTTCAAGAGAAAGTGCAAATGTGGTGCGACATGGGCAAGGATCAAAGAATGCATCTACTGCAGCTCCGGCTAGAGTGCCAGCTCCAACCAGGAAAGTGTGGCTGCGGAATGCCGCAGGCTAATTCCGGTGACATGCAAGGAACCAGTGGACTCCCATCAACGTGGAATTGATGCATGTCGATTTAACAAAGCCGCAGTCAGCATGTTCTAAGCTGCGGTGAGTTGCAGAAGATGCTGATGCCCCAATAGAAAATTCTGGTGCTTTTTGCAATGTACATGAAGAGGATGGCACGACAGGGCAATTCTTGTAGCAACGCATTGTGTGACGACGAGTTGTTC